AAGGCGCATATTTTATTATATTTGTAATATACAGGGTGATATATTTTTTTGGCAAATAATGATAGATGATATCCACACTTCCACCACTTTTAAATTTCTAAAGCTGGTAATGTTTTGTTTCATACCTATTACCATACTAAATATATATGCACACCGAATTTGGTTAAATTATCTAAAGCGGTTTAGAAATTAAAAATTAAAAACTGATTTTTTTAAATTTTTGACACGCTGTAGCTGGACAATGGCTGTCCTAAGACCCCATTTTTATATAACAAAAAAGCCTTATTTTTGGCCACAGAATATGCCCCTGGATTTTTGACCTAAACTTAAAAAACACCTTGTACCTATAGATTTTTGCAATCGAACTTCGACTTCATAGGATCTTGTTTAAATTTGAATTTATTCGAATTTAACTTAATATCTTTAAAAAAATGTCTCTTACAGATTTGGGACAGTTTACTTTTTATTTCGTAAAAGCTACCTCTTATGAGTAGGTAAAATCCTAAAAAGTACGACAATGCTAGGTGCTCATCAGCGCAATTATGTACCTAATTCTATAATTTCTCAGCAATGTTTAAAAATACATAATTATGGAATGATGGAAACTATTTATTTAAATAAATACGAATTTATGCGAAACATCGTCATGATTTTTGAACTTTTAACAACGCAAAATGTATTCCACGAAAAAGTTCAAGAGCCACAAAATATTTATTTGAAAAGTCTGTCCAAATCTGTAAAAGAAGATTATCTGCAACGTTAAATAACATTGTTTTTTTCTGTTACAACCTCTCAGATGTTTTCTAATTCCGACATTGTTAGTTTTTGATTATGTACTATATTAGGAAACTGCCAAGTTCCAAATTTTAAGTCGTGCTTCTAATAGTTCTTGAGTAATTATCAAAGCACGTACAAAGAGTTTACTAATGTGAACCTAGAGAAAAATCTGCGGGTGTGATACTCTTGAGTCCAAATCCGTTACTTCTCTACACGAGTTTTCCTAATAGAAAGATAAATTTGCGACTTTTAAAACTCAAGACAAATGTATGTTGGTGCGTTGGGACTGAAAGTACTTTCCATGCATTTATTAAAACTGCCTCCTTTTACCAAACTATTCGTCTTTTTATGTTCTGTAAAAACACTCATAATAACAAAAATAGAAAAGTCCTAACTATGCATAATAACAAAAATATATGTTTTATGTATCGCAACAATTCATATCTAATAAAAATATCATGCTCATGGTTGTTTGCAAGATTAAATTAATTGAATTTTGAAGCAGGTTTCAATTTAATCATGAAATTGGTCCTTATCACAGATTTTAACTATGACGGTCCTAAATCTATCCTATATAACTATGTGTATATCTTACTTTAACCAAAAACTGTAATTTCCGTCCCAACCTTTGAAAAATGTTTAGAGATTTGCTTTAGGAAAAATCGGTACTTTTTTTTTTGTTTTGACGAGAGAAGTGAACTGTGAAAGTTTGTCGCAACGTTGCTAGTTCACTTCATGCGTATAAGTGTAATAATTATTAGAAAAATGTATTAAAACAAATATATTGAAAAACGGATGTGGATTATTATTAAATCATGTTTTAATACTTAAGCTTTGTAGCAATAAATAAACCAATGCTGTCGATGACATCTTAACATCAAGTTACCTTGTGACATAAATGTTGCGAATATTTCCAGTTGCTTCATGTACCCAACTGGATGTATACAAACCGACATAAACGGCTGCTTTTTGGTCGTTGGAACGTTCATTTCCAGCATTTGCTGGGAATATGGAATTCCCATTGAAATTCTGCGTTTCGCTTCACGTGCCATTGATGAGTTCAGCGATCCTTTAACTGAGTGTGTTATGAAGAAAATGCAAAACGCAATATATTGAAAAGAGCTGCTCTTAAAGGTTTCATTTGTATTTGTGAAATTTTATTCAGTCACGGAATATTGCTTATTTCATCACGGTTGAAAAAATACATTTTTTTTGCGCCACAATATGAACAATTTGGAATTGAACTCAAAAGAGATATCTGCGGATTCTTCTAAAGAATGGGTTTTCTAAATAACTGCTACAAAAATAATAATGTTTGTTTACCTTTAACAAATTTAGGTTGATAAGGATGTATAGGACGTTTTTCAAAGCGTAGTTCTTATTTTATGGGGTTGACGCTAAAATAGTGCGTTTAAAAAAATCATAACTAAGGTTCTTAAGATTATGTACGAGCCTTTCGGCTTTAAACATAGCGCTATTCTAATAGGATACATTCCAGATCGCGAAGAATTGTTTATATCGTTCGCGATAAAGAATACCGAAAAACCGTAACATATACCGTACCGTAACATCAAAACAGTATTGTTCCAATCTGGTTTAGAAAATACCTTTTTCGGGCTGTGAATAATGTTACGTGGGTAATATTAAACAGTATTTGAAACATAGAATATATCAACATAACTATGACTGCAGTGAAATAATAAACCGAAGTCAAACAGACAAAATAGCATAAGCCCAACATTATTTCAATAAAAGTTGAAAACATCATGTTTCTATATAAACAAATTCTTTTCAAAATGAAATTTACAAAGAAGTGATATTTATTATTCGAACAAAACAGGAAATACCCGAGGTAACATACATGGTTTGAATAATCACTTATTGAAGCATATACAAATCAATACACAGGATGTTCTGTATCGAAGAAATCGTTTTTCTTCAATATTTTTTGACACAATAGATGTTTTACCGAATTAAATTCGGTCTACAGGAGATGCGGTGCTCATGTAAAATGTCTCAACTTTTTTTTTGGACCTCATCTTAAGCGATTTGTGATATTAAATATTGGTTCTTCATACTTGTCTATGATTCTTAGTTGACATCACAAGGAGCATCCATTTTCAAGAAAGAGGATTTTTATTTCATACTGTACATATACAGAAGGAGTAGGTGAATTAAAAAAGTTATTTATTCATGTAGAATTATTACTAATAACGAAATTTTAAAAAAATCTAAATATTCGGAATTAGCTGATTTCAAATTGTTGCAGTGAAATTTTTCTCTAAGAGACCTAAGTTACAATCCGTACGATACTTCTTGAGATAAGATTCCAAGAAAAGAATAAGCCAATGAAGTTCTGTTATTGGAATACTGTAACAATTTACCGCGGCAAGGGCTCTATCTCGGGTGTCGAATACGGTTAATTCCAATAAAGTGACGCAGGGGTCTTCTTAGAATTATATCTCAACAAATATCATACGGGCTGTAGATAATGTGATTATGTGGTGGAAACTTTTTATTTTATCGTTACTAACACAATATTGTCTTTATAGTGAAATAGGTGGGATCAATATTTAAATTTTTAATATTTTAAAATTTTTTGTTTATATGCTACATGTTGTAAAAGAAAATTGATTAAATTTGTTCTTAAACTGTTATTATATTAAATTATTTTGTATTTATTAACAAATTGTCGTAAAAGAAGCATTAAATTCTCTTTGTATTTTGTTTTATCCTGGAGAAATACTAAATATACATAGATATAGTCAAAACGCCGACAAATTTTACGAAAAAAACATTTTTGTTAATTTTCCTAAATTGTAAAGCTAAAAAAACTATTACGATTAAGGACACAACTATTACAGTGTACCACTTAATATTCGAGAGATTATGTAGTGTTCGCATAGCTTTTTCAATGAAATATTACTGGATCGGATGCAATGGACCTATTTTAAGGTTCACCCTATCGGTAAAATATTTGGCATACACATAACAGAAATTCAGAGGGTTGAAACGAATTGAATTCACATGACAATCGCTAACAGGGAACATTACCATCTTGTATGGTCTTTACGATCTCAATTGAAGAACCAACAGGGCGACAGTATATACCAGGTTCGGTCGCTGACGCATTGAAATATTTGAAAAACTTGTTCCCATATTTATTTAGCCATGGGTCTAGTAGAACTAAACATGGAAGTACTAGAAATGTATACGCCCATTTAAAGAATGCGGACAAACGGCGTATAACACAGCCGCACTGGGCGACTGGCCAATAAATTTCAGTTGTTGACAAGTGGTTGACAAATTGCCTAGCAGTGCAGTGCATATTATTACATCATGACATTTTGGAGACCTTTTAAAACGGGACAAAACGAAATTTACCATCAATATAATAAAATTATTTGAGGACATAAACAATTAAAAAATATTGTTGGCCTAATGAACATATAATAGAAATTTTCTGCACATTATATACAGATTATTATAATTTTCATATTCATATTCATATAATCCATATATTGCGTAAGCTATTTCGTTATGACAGTTGTCAAAATTAAAACCCCAATTTCAAAACCGCCCTGTATTGACTGTTTCAATTATTTTCAATTCAATTAACATGTTCCTAAGATCACGTATATAAAATACAGCCCCGCCAACGTAATAAAAACATAGCCGCGCATTTACGTCAATCTTTGTGAAATAAGTATATCGACGACATCGAAAACATCTTCCAAGGGGTCCCAGCTGAAAGCGGTGTCAGTAACACTGTTACATATTGAATCGAACATAATTGTTCCTGACAATAAGCCGAGGAAAAATAAAAATCCTGCGAGATCGGTAGAAGAATATTGCACATAAAAGATTCACTCCGCATCAGTGCGGTGGTTCATAGCAGTAAAATTTCATATTCAAAGCGCGAGGGTAAATTTCTATTACACTCCGGAACAGGTGAGATATACATCATTTTGTTGGTGAATATATTTTTTTTAGATACAGGGTTATATTCCAAAAAGTTGATGAACTTCAAAAACACATAATTATTATCTTCTTATGCTGTCTAAAATGACGACAAAAAATTATACTTAACGTAGACATATTCAACATATTTTCACCTACCTTCTGAAAATTCTCATAATATTCTAATATAACTGTAATGTATATATGTAAAGTATATAGGTATAATTGACTTTTCTATGACAATTTTATTCATTTTATTGCAGATACGGGAGTCCACACCACAACAGATCTCAGTCAGTCAAAACTCCGGGCAGATCTTCCGGGAGGCCAAACTACCTGTGTCTTCCACAACAAAGGTCGCGAGTAGCTTCCATGCCCAACACTGGAGTAGAAGAAGAGTACTATCGTCTCAGACATTTTTCTATCACCGGAAAGGGCGTAGTGAACAGAGGGGACAGTCTGAAAAGTAGAAGGTCCAGGTCGAATAATTCGGTCGCTTCTAGCAATTCTAGGTAAGTTATGTACTTAATATCACTTGGTTATGCTTTGCTTTTAGTTATTAAATATTTGTATTGTTGTCGGTTACAAGAACTAGGCTTAACGTTTAATCAACAATGGGAATGGAACTGGGAGAGATTCACAGAGTTAATATACGCCATTATTTAGATGCAGCGTAAATATTCAGTTAATGTGAAACAAAATTTACAATTTGCAAAGTGTTGTGTATAAGTCAAAGATATTTAGGTGAAAGCGTATACATTGTAGATCAAATAATACTTGCTGTAAAGGGTGACTCTCATAATATATGGCATAGACCAGTTTTTTTTCCTACACATGGAACAGGGTTGAACTAAATATATTTTACAGAAAATAATATGGATACATTTTTTATATAATACTTATGAATGCCGTAATTTTAAAACTGTGTTTCAAATCTATAGGAGTTTATAGGATATAAATTTGCAACGCAAAATTGTGGTATTAATATTTGACAATTATTTTAAAAGCTTTTTCCTAGAAGCCCGTCTTAGATAAGCCATTATCTAAAATGGATGGCTTATAACAGGAGTATCTGCCAAGTAGCAGTAAAACATGATTTTCTTAGAACTTCGCTTTTGCAATATCTTAATGCATGATTTTAAGAAATTTATATTTTTATTTCTAGGTTAATTATACCAGTTGTTTTTCTTAAAATATCCCTGCGTTAAATGTAAAAGTGATACGTTGTTTTTCCTTGGATCTTTGAATACCCGCAAAAGGTCATTAACAAAAAAAAAATGTATTTTAGCAACTTCGTTATTGTTAGTAGCAACATATCTTGTACATTTTTTTACGTTGAGAAAATGATTGAATAATTAGAAGGTGATGGAACGTTATATAATAAGAAAAATTTTTCCTGAGGACCATACCCTCTTTTGTTTCTAAGATACAGGGTGTCGAAGAAGATTTTACAAAATCCAATTTTAACCATTTTTTCCAAAAAAATAAACAATGTATCGCATTGCAATTTGATTTTCAAAGTACGAAATACATCAGTGCTGTTAGTTTTTGACCATCTGCAAAATGACTTTATCTACTATCTCTTTCAGATAAGGTATAACATTTTTGGGGTTATGTTTTTCATGGTACACTCAGTTAATTGTACCAAAGCCAACCAGATTATGGTATATTATATAAAGTGTCAGCAAAAAAATGGGCAATACTTCAAAGGTAGTTTCTTTAGATGAAAATAGGCTGATTTAGATAGAGTTACCATGGTAGAAGTAAATTGAATATCGGCTTATTTTCATATTTCATTCAGACATACTGTCGCTGAATTATCGTCATCCTGTACATTAACGAATAGAACCTCAAAAAAATGTGCATTTTCAGTGATTTCAGATCATACTAGTACCAAATTTCAATAAAGTACCTACATACTTTTTGGAAAACATAGGGCGCGGCGGCTAGAATTTTATGTTAAAAAATCATCTTTTACTTCAAATCAACCAAATTCAACTTTTGTCACAAATTTTGTTATATTTTGTTTTTATCAACTAATTTGAATACAAGTCTCGATATGTGAAATTTAGATAACGTAATTGCAAGCAAATTAAAAGAGTATCCCATTTATTGATAAGAGAAATATTTTGAGTGTTTTCACAATCCAGCCAATATAAAAGTCATAAAATGATGCCTTTTCTGATACTGCTAATGACATTGTAGTATATTCAAATACGTCAATCGTTAAAAGTGTAAAAACGTATTCTAGAACCAGCACCACAAAATGTTTCCAAATAGTAACTATTTTCGAGTTAATTAATAATACCTATCTATGATTTACAAACAAACCACCTGAAAAAATAGCAAGTTGTTTTATCTCATAATTTATTATTCAAATAAGTTTAATTTCCCTGCGAATATTTACCTTCACAAAACAAATTTCAATGTGTATTTGAAAATTTAACAAAATAAACTTGTTAGATGAGCATTCGTGTCTGCTTTGTTTACAAAAAGGTCCTGGATTCGACGGACCAACTCTTTCAGAGTACTGTTTTTCTAGCCAAAACAACTTAAAGTTCTAGCAAAGCCGACTATCCGTTTTGTACAAAGGATATTCGATAGACAACTCGAAACACCACTGAACCGTAAACTAAACCTACACTGTTCCTACCTATTTATGTGAAGATAAACTTCACGTTTCAGTGTGATACACTCCCAACAGACAGATCGATATTATGTCTACCGTCGGCATTCCATATATCTAAAGGGAAACCTCACAGAGTTGCAGTTGCATGCAAGCCACTTAGCCATAAAGTTTGCATTATTGGAGCGGTTGTGAATATTGCTCCGTATATTCGCGAACTATGCTAAGAATGCAATAATACCGGATATGCATGGAAGTTATATTGCCTGTTATGGTTCTGTTCCGCACGGACCTTGTAATATTTTCACAAAAACTGGTAACGAAGAAGAATAACTTATTTTAAATAAACGTACTTGTTATGGAATATGTTCCTGATTCCAAAAAGTTCACAATATGGAATTTTTAAATCATTCGTCTTTTCCAGTATAGGCAACTTACATATATTTTTTAAATGTCTTTGAAATATTTTAGAAGTATTAAAGGAATGTTTGCCGTCTTGTTGATTCGTGACGTCATTTAGTGCGATTGAAAATCGAGAAGATAAATGACAACGACAATACGTGCATAGCATACCTAACAAGAGTCTAAAGACAACCAAAATCACTTTACTTCCAGATTCACCACGTGCGCGTTTTTTAGATTATGTTCGGTCTGATTGGCTTGGGAATTATAGACCTAGACGAGAGGTGCCCGAAAAGCAGGTTGTGTTCTCATTCGCACTAAATGACGTCACAACGTGTTTTTGATCACTTGACAAAATTTAAATTTTTACCCAATTTTGTACATTCATAATTAAATGGTATCATTAAAGAAATTACCACAACAAACACACTTTGCAATTATATAAGAATTTTGCGCATAAGTTTCTTATTGTATGTTACGGTCCTGAACAACCTAGTGAAACGTACAGATATACAAGTGCTGCATTAGTTTTAAAATTTCAGATTAAAATTTAAACGATTAAACCATTGCACAGACCAGTTTATTTAAAATTTGGTTAGCTTTTTGTATGTTTTATGTTTAAAAAACAGTAATAGTATTAGCCTTAAAATTTTTACATCGAATGTGGGAAAAAGAGTCGAACAAAAAGTGAAGCTTCGTGTTTTACCAATAATTAAACAAAACAAGAACATGTTTTTTTAATATTTAGTTGATGAAATACGGTTGTTACTTTTTTCGCTTTTTTATTTTGAATTAGGTCAGAAAGTAACGAGCGTTCAAATAAAAACGTGGTCAAGTTGGTTCTGAAAATTTGGACGTAGGGCGTAGCGTATAGCAAATGAACTTAAACCTCATCTGTCAAAGCGCTATATCGCCGCTATCAATTTGAATATTTTCGTTTTAAAAAGCGTTTAAAATGGTGTTTTCTCAAGAACAAAAAGTGTTTATCATAGAGTCCTACTTTAGAAATGGACGCAAGATTGATGGAATATGGAAGTATTCATTCTATTGAGGTATGTTTCATAGAATTTCAAAATCGATTTCCCGGCGTTGTTGAGTACAAAATTTTTTAAAGTGCAGTTCAGCGTTGTGTTAATGTTTTTCGTGAAACGGGCAGTGTAACAAGAAAAGAAGGAAGCGGCCGACCTAAAAAGCGGACTGAAGAATTAAAAGAAAATGTCCAACAAATAATGGAAAATGCGCCAAGAACTTCTGTACGTGTTTTATCACAAATGGGGGGAGTATCAGTCGGTACCTGCCACACAGTGTTAAAAAAAGATTTGCGTTTGTTCTCCTATCGTTTAACTTGTCAGCAAGAACTTCATGTTCAAGTTGATTTTCCGCGACGGGCTGTATTTTGTGAATGGTTTTTAAACGACTACGGTGAACTTCATAATATCACTTTTTTTTCTGATGAAGCCTGGTTTCATTTAAGTGGTTACGTAAACTCACAGAATATGAGAATGTGGTCTTCTGAAAAACCAGATAACTTTTTTATCGAGGGCCCTCTACACGCTCAAAAAATTGGAGTTTGGTGTGCTCTCAATCGAAGGAGGATTTATGGACCTATTTTTTTTAATGGTACTCTTACTGCGCAAAGGTATAGAGAATAAATTATCGCTCCTTTTGTTAACCAGCTGGAAGAAAACGAAATTACAAACTTTTACTTTCAACAAGATGGCGCAAGGGCACATACGGCAGGTGAGACGATGAATATGTTGAGGGAAGTTTTCCAAAATCGACTAATAAGTCTCAATGCTGAACATGAATTTCCACCGAGGTCATGTGATATTACGCCGTGTGATTTCTTTGTGGCCTTACCTTAAAAACACTATTTTTGAACTGCCTATTCCTGATTAAACCATATGCAGGCTCGACTTATAGACAAGATTCGTGAAATTAACAATACCCCGAGCATCTTAGAAAATGTCTTTAATTCTTTGAGGAACAGGTGTGAAAAGTGCTTGGAACAAGGAGGGGGACACTTTCAGCAGCTGCTTTAATTTATTGTTATAACAAGGAGGAGGACACTTTCCGCAGCTCCTTTAATTGTTTGTTATTGTTATCACGATTATTCTTTAAAATAAAGTTATATAGTCATTAACGTTATTGAAACTGACAGCTGCTATACAGCTCGTTGAGAAATGAGGTTAAGTTGGTCGCTATAAGCTACTCTCTACGTCCAATGTGTCAGAGCCAACTTCGACCACGTTTTTATTTGAACGCTCGTTATAACAAAAAAGCATTATTACACTATGCGGTGGATTTTATAAGTCAAAAAATTATAATTTAACGGGGAACATTTTGGATATACAGTGTCCCACGGTGACGAGACATTAGACATATTTCAGTGACAACTTCGATTTTAATTTTGAAAGTTTAGGCAATAGTGTTTTCGGGTATGCCCGTCTCACTAAAATAATGGCGTCCACCTCACGATTTCGG